TTTTTTGTGTATACATTTTGTGTTGCATTAGTAAAAATTATTTTAACTTACAGCATTCACAAAGACTTTAAGCTGATCACGAGGAAGAAAATTAAGTGAGTAATAAGTGGTGTTTAACTATCTAAAAACGTTTTTTAATAGTTTTTAAAGTCATGCAATGTCTTAGTTAGGCATGGACATGTCATTGTTTATTTTTGTATAGTAGATATATTCATATAGTAGAAATGAAGCATATTTGGGGGCTTGTTCGGGATCTTTGATTTGTTTTGTGGAGCTGATATTTTTCCTTGGTTCACGCGTGCTGCACTTGGCGTTGTTTTAGTTTGTATTGGTCCTTTGTATTACAGGTATTACGGTACTATAGTTTGTATTATGGGTAATTGTGGTGTCCATTGTGGGTTTTAGTTTAGAAGATTTTACTCTGCACCTGACATTGGAGCAGTTTGAGAAATGTCGCAAGGCAGATGTTTTATCGACAGCAGGTTTAAGTCTCTCGGTTTACTGGGGATGTATCAGATGTTAAACAGAGAAAGGGATACAACTCTCACGCCCCAGACAGACACAGGTGGTAAAGGTGATAAAAATCCATTCAAAAGGGTGCAGTGTGTTAACTCTAACATAGCCATTTGTAAGAGCAAGGTGACTTTCTGCTCAATTACATGAGACCTACAGTACAGTCAGATAGATTTTAAATTCTTTAAGCAACATAAGCTGTTTGTAAAATTCACCTACTTTGCACTGTACTCGACTTCTGAAAAGATACCTTTTTCTCTCGTGCAAATTCATCAAAGATTTATTTTTTATAATTCCGGAACTTGGACGATATGCCTCAGGGGCTCATTCATAATATAATCAAACCAAACCCCCTAACCCCCCGATTAAACTTTGAACTGCCTGTTTGCAGCGTGTTATATTACAGTCCCTGAGTGTTTCATTGTCCTTTAGCAATATAAGGAGAGCAAAATTAATACAAAAAAACGAAAGCTAAAATGTTTTATAAAACATCCACATGTGATATTTTAGCAGCTTAGTTACACGATTCCATATTACTATCAAGTGGTATTAAATCAGTACAACTTTTTTTACAATAACATCAACTGGTGTTCTTAGTACATATTCATAGAAAAAGGATAAAACATTATAACCTTTAATAAAATATAACATATGAACTATATAATGTTAGAACAAGCATGTTAAAACTTTTCCATAACCCAACGTAAGTCACCACCTAAAAGATTTTGATACATAAAATATTTATGAAGATGGTAGAATACTGTTGTGTACTTAAGCTACTACTACCATCTACTGTGTGTACGTTTGTTGTGTATTACATTCTATTACTATTGTTAGTTTCAGCTACCAAAATTTACTTTTGGATTTTCTCTATGTGGATGTAAACCTGAAAGAGACACATCATGTTCACAAGCTACAGTATAATACTAAACTCTTTTTTATATATCCCTCTGAGCAATCTTGCTTTTATAAAATATACATACTTTTAATTATTTTAATATTTAATATGCTGTAATACACAGTTTAAAATTAAAATTAATAAAATGAATAAAAGTCTAAACAGTATACAAGATAAATTCTGTAATTGGAAAAAGATTGTCCCTCAACATTGACCGGGATTTGAAATCAGGTGATTTCTGTTGACAGCCCAAATGCTCCACATGCCATGGTAAGCTTTTAATTGCTTCACCTGGTGGCTTTACAAAGTAGTGCAAACATATTTAAAAAAAGCCTGTGGTACGCCACAGCACCTGAACTGCAAACTACTGCAGTATCCTCTCTGCATTTTGAATGGCTGGATCTGTGCTCTCAGCTGTGAGTAGTGACACCACAGGGAAATGCATGAGCAAGACATTCCTGGGTGTCATTCAACAAGAACCTAACAAACATTGTAAAGGCTATTTCACCTTTAAGGCTCCTGAGGAGAATAATATGGCTTAATATACACTGCGCAGTTGAAGCAGTGCATTATTATATGGGTAAAGCACATTCTAAGGCACACTCAGGTAGTATTTAGGAACATCACACTGTACACTAAAATAAATGACAATTAAATAAATGATAAATGAATAATTCAAACATCGACTTTAAAATAAAGAAGTTTTTAATGTATGTGATTTTTTCAATATATTTCAATTTGCAAGTCATTGTGTTGAATTACAGTCTATCATGCTCTTGCTGACCTCTGTGGTGGCAATGCTTATTAATAAGACAGAATTAAGTGTTGCTGTGCTTTCCTAAGTGAGGCCTCCATCTCTCTTTCTGATCTATGTGGTGCAGCCACAAAGAAGCTATTCATGTAGTTTCTGATTTAAAGTGTTTTCTTTCCAATAAGGAGCAGCTCCCAAATGGGGATGCGCCCAGCCATGCTGGTTTATAATTTTCAATGGCCATTCTTGGCACCTCTCTGTCCATGTGATTCTTGGGAACTTCTGGATTGCAGTCCTAGATGTCAGAGGTCATTGTTTCTCTTCTCTCACCTTGATCAACCAAACAGGAACCTGCGAGGCACATAAGTCTCAAATGCCTGCCAAACTTTCAACCAGTCATCGCCTGTCTTTGTTCTGGTTAAAAGGGTTAACCCTATGGGCCTAGTGTTCACTTTCTATCTCCCCAGATTAATAAGTGTTACAGTTACAGCCCTGCACTAAGTGGCCTCTGAGGTTATTGCGAATACTTGCCGATAAAAGCAGCAGACATTAGAAGACGAATTTCTTGTCCATCAAGTTTGTTCTGTGCCTGAAGAGCACAGTGAATAGACTCAGGTTCCAGGTAAGTGGGTCGCTGAATTGTATTTCAAACATGCACAATTTAACTGTTAACTGATACCTGCAACTTTCTGGATTTTATTTTCTTTTAAAAAATATGTTGATCTCATTTGGTAATTCAGTTTATGCTATTAGAATTAGGCACCTGGGATTCTTATAACTTCATCCTTTTCTTAAGACCACATTAGAAAGATTTTAAAACCACAGGTAAGAAAGACTGAAGTATAAAGTCAGATAAGAGACTTATGTCTTTGAGAGATTTCCAGCATAAGGAGCAGGGTGTTCCAAAAGATCATTTTGCATACAGTACATAGTCAATATCTTAATAGATTAAATTGTTAGAATCAAATTATCTTAACATACATTATATTCACATCAGTTTTAAATTTTGAAATTTTGTTCACAGATGTTAAAGTAAATAATTTCTATTTGTCAGGTTATTTGTGTTTATGTTCACACTGAAATTCCCCTGGATTCATGTTGTTTTGATTTGTGAATAGCAAGAAGTTATAAAAGAAACAAGGCAAATGTAGTTTTGCTTTGTGTTGAAATTTATTGCTGTCTCTGATAAGTAATGATAGTCATTACTATGCACAGAAAATATTAGAACAGTTAGAACAGTAGTGAAGATCAAGGATGAACATTCTTTCTGTAATAATATAATCAACAAGTGATACAGGATTCAGGTTTCATGAAATCAACAAACAGAAGTATGGTAAAATATGTATTTTAAAAATCACTTTATGAGATAGCACTTTCTTTTGATTCTGCTTTTCTGTCTGTTCATGTTGTTTAAAAGGACATATAAAACTCCTTTCTTTCCTCACTGAATATAATTAGAAATCAGTCCTGCATTTCTATTATTTCAGTGTTAGCTGCTGTATTCAGAATCAATCTTTCTGTAACTATCAAAGAAGCAGTGAATAGCCAGTGATAAAATTACTTTTCTTCATGTATAGTATGCATTCCGTAATCAAGTGGTTCACTGATTCTGTAGTAAACAAATGTCTTCTAGTTTTTCCCATCGGTTTTCTGTGTTTTCAGTGTAATTTCACAGGCTTATTGATTTCTGTTTTCTTTTTTACACATATTTATAAAAAAAATAGGCAAATCAATGAAGTCATCAATAAGGACTGGACAATTAGCACTTTGAGATTCAGCTTGATCTAAAATCAGTGTTACTCTGGGAGCAGAGATAGAAACCACTGCCTTGTTCCAAATACTGTAAAACTTTCTGATTGACATGTAATTTGAAGTTAATACAGCACGATCGGTAATGTAAAGCTTTTGCAGTTTTTCTTAGAAGGCTTTTGTTCAACCACACAACACATTACTTTGTCAGACTGAAGGTCCTGTGCTTGGAGTAAAGCATTAATGACATTGCACACAAATCAAACTGATAATCATTCAATTTGTAATACAATGGCTGATCTGCTCCATTCAATTTGTGATAGTGATGGAATAATTGCCATTATTTGCCACATTTGCACCTTGATAAGATTATTATTCAGTAATACAGTGAGCTGGTTCATTATGCTGAACCAAAGTTAAAGTAGAAGGTCTTGAGTAGCATTAAGTCTGTAATAATATTAACCTTTGTGTTTCTGTAGTATAGTTGAGTTTCTTAGTGGATGAAGTGCAGATCTCTGAATTATTATCAAGTGAAATAACCTGCAACTAGCAATATTTTGTTTTCTAGAAAAAAGCAAAAGGTTCTAGCATACAACAAAATGCAGGCAAACTTGTTTAAAAACTAACATACAAAGTGTTGCATTTTGGTTTCACAATGAACATCTTCAAAGCTAAATAAAGACCTTAACAACTAATAATGTCTGACTCATTAATTATCAGATTTATCAGGGTTCAATTAAGAATAATCAGGGTTCAATTAAGATAATTAGGTTTAAATACACTCTGAAATTAAGATTGAAGAGCACTTACAGATGCAGCCATTCAAAGTGCACAGCACAGACACATACCGCGGGTAATTGGCTATATCCTTGCGCATTGTGACGCGATGACGCGAAATACCATGGTACGGTACGTGGTTGGTTGACCGACAGGGGCACTTGTGGTGCGTTAGTTGGTCGTTAAAAGATTTAAATGTCTTTACTGTGCCCGTTTTAGTATTGAATATTTATATGGAATTTTACCACTGAAGGGAAATCTTAGTAGCTGAACATAACCAGTATTCCATTTCTCCCTAAACATTTTAAGAATCGAAGTCTTTAACTAACATGTGAAATAGCGTGTATAAAAGGTGGTAGTTTTAATCTTTTCTGCTAATATGATATGGAATCGCGTTTCTAAAGAAATTAATAACGATATAATTATATTTGTGTACTGCAACACAGTAATACACGCTATACAATGTCTGTTGATTCTGTATGTGTAGGGCTGTTTCACATTTGCTCATGTGACTTCCCCGGTAGCCTGCTGGTCTACATGCCAGATTAATAACCCCCAAGTTATGTGTTCAAATCCAGCCGGCCCCGTGACTTTTCTTTTAACAAACATTTATTTGAAAAAATAGAATAGCAATATTATGGACAATAAATTGACTTTTTATATTTATAATTATCACAACATGATCGAATTTAAGTCATTTTTAATAACAATGAATAGTCACCTTCTTCCCTTCTGACAACTTTCCCTGCTTCTGCTTCCTGCTTCTATTGTGTGTGTGTGGGGGGGAGATCCCTTTAGATGTCCCTTCAGATTTAAAAAGGTTATTAATCATATCTTCGGTGTTGCATCTTCCAAGTGTAGCTGATCTTTTGCTGCCTGGGTAAACTATCACAAAGCTTTAGAGAACTTAACATTTCTATCAACAAATTGTAAATACGATGTTTATATTGGAATTATTAATGTTTCACTTGAGTGTATGGAGAATTGTCAGCTGTCACTGAGAGTAGACCCCCCCTCTTAGACTACGCAAACCATCTTTTAAATTTTTATAGAGAAATGGAGGCTGTACAGTATGCGTTACAATATAAAAATTTATATTGCTTTAAATCGCATTTTGATTTAAATCGCATATGTGTGTTTAACTATATGTGTTTTTTGATTCATCAGACAAATGCAACATAAATTGATATCTTTGTCTTCTAAGTATCTTAATAAACTTTCAGCATAGCTTTCAACCCATTTAGATGTATTTTTCTTGGGATTTTGGGATCAAACATGGAAAGATTAGATTGTAATCATTTTTATTTGTTAAATACATTTTAGAAAATTGTAATCTATACTAAAAAGCTGTACACTACATGCTATATAGATACATATGTTTAGATATTTAGATATTTAGACCTGGCGCGGCACCGAGAGAGGGAGGAGGCGCAGAGCTCAGTTCTGTTGCCTGGAGCCCTTAATGCACCGATCACGTCTGCATTTATAACTCAGTTTTTAAAATTAGTCAAGCAATATGAAGCATCTCTTTTTACTTTTAAGTCCCTTAATTATCACTAAGCACAGCTTTCTCACCACTTAGACTACTTTTTGATACCATCCTTAGACAAAGCAGAAACTTGTTGTGTTTTCTAATGACATACAAGTGGAAAGATTACAGATTTTTATCGTCTTTAATTTTGTTACGTTATACACTTTAGAAACGTTTCATCTATACAAACATCACAAAACTATTCTCTATTGTATTTCTGAATGTAATGTTACACTTAGTTCACTGTTTTAAATACATCTAATTAAGAAAGTTAGGTGTTAGCATAAACTATTAGTAATCAATAATATTAAATTTAGCACTGTAATAAGTTGTTGCACTTTCCCCCGCATCTTGTAAAAATATATTTCCATTGTTAAAATATACATTAAATCTGACTATCATATAATAAGTTAAATTAAAGAAAAAATAGGGTAAAATATAATTAAAAATATTTTGCTAACAATGTTAACTGTTTATAAATAATAAAATGTATTAACCAAAGAGTAGGATGGCACAGTTGTTAGTATGCTTTTTGTTTTGTTTCTTTTTCATAAATACAACAGTAATGCCTGATGTCTCAGTGGCTTTCAAAATTAAATTACGCATGCAAACCTGTGAACTAGAAAGATAACTAAAATATCCATCCATGTCAAATGAGGGAGAGGTGGTTAGCATTGCTATCTTGCAGCACTGGGGTCCTAGGTTCAATTCCTGCTGTCCTGTGTGTGGGGGGTTTGCATGTTCTCTCTGGGTTACATGGTTTTTCTCCATATGTTTGATATGACTCCCTCTCGCACTCCAAAACATACTGGTAAGTTAATTGGTTCATGGGAAAACTGGCCCTGGTGTGTGTGTTTCTGTCTGTCTGTCCTGTGATGGACTGGTGCTATGTCTAGGGTGTATTCTGCCTTGTGTCCGTTGCTTACTGGGATAGGCTCCAAATCCTCTGTACTGGATAAAGAGATTGGAAAATGGATGGAAGTAAAGGCACTGTGTGGATGGAACTATACACAGTATTAAAAACCCACTATGAAATGGCCCCTTCCTTCAATTCATGTGCATCCAACACACAGTTCAATGCTAGCAACTACACAAAATCTAAAATACAATCCTCATTTCAGTATCTATGTAAACATACAGTCTGTTAACTTCATCATCTTCATAAAAAGTATGCCTAACCCCATCCGGAAGTGTTCTTGTTATCAGTGTATTCCTCAACTTTCCCGAAATTATCTTTTTCTTACCAACATCTCTAGTCTTGAGAGAGATTATTGTGATTTTCTTAAATGTTACTGTACTTAATTAATATCGGCCCTCTATTACTGTATTATAATAAGAAGGTGTTAAACACAAAATACAAAAATTGAAATAAATACAATTTTGTCTTTACTTCTTTATTAATCTACCCAAAATCAAGAGTGCTATAGTATGTTTCATGTACAGTACACTCCACAGACATTGCCCAGTCCCAAAATCAGGCACAGTGAGGCAACAGTGTTAAACTCATTGTCACCATGTTGCCCTATAATATTGATAAAAGTCAGTAAATATAGGGTTAGTGTTTTAAACTAATGCATGGACATTCTTTTTTTTTCAGGGGTATTTTTTCCAGTAAAGCAGTAAAAATTAAAATATACTGTTTGTCAGTATATCCTTATCATGACGTATGAAATACAATTTTTACCTAAAGAAATATTGCACTTTATCATACTTTGTGAGATCTTCTTGTAAATATGCAATAATCTACTGTTAATTCATTACCTCCAAGGTACCCCTGAATTGAGCCATGAGGAGACCCAACATCAGTCTTCACTATGAATTCATCATTGTGGGACTGCCAACCCTACAGGAGCAGGACACTGTACTCTTTGTCGTATTCCTCATCCTCTTCCTGGTCACATTCCTAAGTAATCTGCTCATCGTGGCATTAATATCCCTGGACCACCGACTCCACGTGCCCATGTATTTCTTTCTGTGGAATTTGGCTGTCTTAGACATATTAATATCAACATCAATCATACCCAAAATGCTAGTGGGTCTTTTAGGTTATAAAACCATCTCTTTCTCAGGTTGCTTTGCACAAATGTACTTTCTCATCTCATTTACAGCTATTGAAGGATTCTTTCTTGCAGCAATGGCTTATGACAGATATGTTGCTGTAGTGAAACCACTGCACTACAACAACTTAATCAGCACCAAAGCCTGTATTACAATGATGTTCACAGCCTGGATGCTGGGCTTCCTAGGTCCTCTATTGCCAATATTACTGGCAAGCACTTTGCCATTCTGTGGATCAAACTTTATCCTCCACATTGTTTGTGATTACCATAGTGTAATGTCATTAGCCTGCGGTGATTTTACAGCTCAAGTAAATTTTACCCTGTCAATTGCAATGCTGTCAATCAATGTCCCATTTCTTTACATCTTATGGACATACTGCAGAATAATAGCATCAGTAATGAAATTGAAAATAATGGAGAGCCGTAAGAAAGCCTTCTCAATGTGTTCCTCACATGTAACTGTTGTTTTTCTGTGCTATGGTTCTGGTGCTGTAGTGTATATTGGATTGAGAGTGGAAAGGATACCTCCTGATGGACGCATCATCATTGGTGGATTTAATTATCTCCTAACCCCTTTGCTCAATCCTATCATTTACAGCTTAAGAAATGAAAAACTCCAAGTAGCTTTTCAAAGGTACTTTAAACTACAAACATTGTCATGCCAAGTCAATAAGCCATAGTATCAGGAATGTCAATGTTAAACTTGCAAATAGAGATTTCTGTCTTACAAGAAATATCATAACAACTTTTTACAATTATTATTTATGATTTAATGTAGTATTTCTTATTGTAAAACTGCAATCATATTTTTGAATGTCAATAATAGTTAAATTTGCAGCACAGTCTAATTAAATACATATTTGCATTCTTTTAACGTTCTTAAATAAATGTTCACAGCATTTATGGATTAAATCTAATACCTATGTTTTCAAATCATCATCTGTATTATTAATGTACAGTAACATGATTAATCAATTTTCAATAGGATAGTTTGGAAAAAATAATTAAGCTGTATTTATAAGGCAGCTCATCTCTTGTGTGGCCTCTGTGGGCATATTAAAGGTTTAATGCTTAGTAGCAATCTATTGTTTTTTTGGGTGACCAGAATAATAGGCCTCTGAAATGCCTTATTTGTAAATACTGTACATGAAGTAACTTGTGTGTTGTATGTTGTGTGTAGTGTAGTTTGTGTTTTGTCTTTGTAATAAATATTTGTTTAACCACGTGTGCCTGGATTGTTATTCCTCTCAACAAAGCTGTGCCAGAGATCAAAGAAATCACATGCTTCAAATTTTAACAACTGCTTGGGCATTTTCTGGAAAAAGCACTTACAAGTTGGGGGTTCAGAATAATTATTTCACTTATTGACTAAACTGCTCGGTCAATTCCTGATTTTCACCATTACTGCCCATTTGTAACAATATTGTTTCATTATTAAACACATCTGGTTTCATTTCCTCTGCAAGCAATAATAGCATCAGCTATCTTAAATATTTGTCATTGTAATTTTATTTATTGTTATATGTACTATATAATGCTTCTTGACACTGTAATGGAAAAAAAAAAAACAATGCTTCTAGTTTTTAATTTTGGTTAAAAGGCATGCAGGTGCTGCATTGGTGGTTCAGTGATAGAATTCTTGCCTGGCATGCAGAAGACCTGGGTGTGATCTCAGCCAACACACCAGTTGAACTTTTAACAAATTGCCCCCTGACGTTGATAAAGAATCTTTCTCTAATGATAAAATACAATATATTTTAATAATGTTTGCTTTGTTTATTTTTTATTAATTTTACATGTCACAAGTATATTCAATATTAAATTAATAATAATAATAAAAATAGTGATAAGGCGTAGAGGTACTGTAGCAAATGTGACATCCTGTGTCTGTTTCACAAAGCCAAATTACTCAGGCAAACAAAAAATAGTTTCTTGTAATATTTGCTACTTGTGTAGTATATTGTAAATGCGATATTCTTTTTAAGGTTTACATACTGTACACATAAAAAATGATTACAGCCATTCAAAATGTGCAGGGGATACTGTAGTAAATCATAGTTCATAAGCCTGGTCATAAGGTTTCTACTGAAAGTTGTGTTAGTGGGGCCAGCAGGGGTGCTCACCCTGTGGTCTATGTGGGTCCTAATGCCCCAGTATAGTGACGGGGCATTAGGTTTTGATAGTTTTGATTTAAATCGCAAACGCGGGCTTAAATATATGTGTTTTTTTATTCACAATCAGACAAATGCAACATAAATTGATATCTTTGTCTTCTAAGTATCTTAATAAACTTTCAGCATAGCTTTCTCCCCGTTTAGATTTATTTTTCTTGGGATCTTGGAATCAAGCGTGAACAGATTAGATTGTAATTGTTTTTATTTTTTAAATACATTTTAGAAAAGTGTAATCTATACTAAAAAGCTGTATACCACCTGCTATAAAGATACATATTGTAATACTTTCGGGTTCGGATAGGACAGACACAAGAATTCACACTTGCGGAGTTAAAGCAAGTTAAAGCCTTGATTTTATATATCACCTTTAAAAGTGGCATCTCAAAGCAAAGTAAATACCCAACACTGATTGTACCCATCTGTCATGCTAATAAAGCACCTTGAATTGAATTGAATTGAGAGAGAGAGAGAAGGGAGGAGAGAGAGAGAGGGGGGGAGGGCGAGAGAGAGAGCACAGCCAGGACAGACAGGCATTGCGTATCTAAGCAAATAACAGTATAACCTTGTTCATGCACAAACAGTGGCATGTTACATTATTAATGTGGGTGTCTCCTCTTGCCAGAAAGCTCTAAATTGCATTTTGAGTGCAGTTTTTGACTTAATGTTTCTGTAGTGCTTTTTCAGCACTCTGCATGTGACCTTGCTGGTGGTGCTGTGGGTTAGGTTCCTGACTCCCACCTCACATGGTGAGTGTTTGAATCCATCTGAAGCCATGACTTTTTTTTAACAAACATTTCTTTGAAAAAATAAAACTTTTCCCTGGGTCAGAAATTAAAAAAAACCTAACTCACATCGAACAAATTTATATTTCTAAATATCACAACATGATCGAATTTAAGTCATTTTAATAACAATGAGTAGTCACCTAGGCGTTACAATATAAACATTTATATTGATTAAAATCGTGTTTAAATCGCCTTTATTTAAAACCCATAAATAAAGCTGATACTGTTTAGACTTTTAATTATTTTAAACTGTATTACAGCAGCACAATGCACAATACAACATAAATTCCAAAAATCCACTTCCAATCTGTCCAAGCCCTACTTTGTCAGGCATTTTCTTTTACTGTAACAGACATAAAAACGCCCTTGCTTTTAACAGAGTGTTTCATAATTTCTAACTACGAAAATTATTTAAATTGCGACACTTATCATTCAACCAGAGCTCTAAATATCACAAGGATCCTCAAGAGCACAGCAAAAACTTTATTAAAAGTATACTAGTGACAAACTAGTATACTTTAGATCTTTTTTCTGAACTGGGGAAAATCTGATCATGTTTCTTTATAACAATAATAAAAAAACATTATTTTACATATCACTTTTATGTGATATCACCTTAAGGACAGCACATACAAGGGTTAATTACACAATGGACAGCGAAATGAAATCTAAAATAGTCTTCTTTAGGTGTGAGGGCAGGAGTGGATCGCAGCAGGCATAATCAGCAAATTAGGAAAACAGAGAACAGGACAGGTGAGACGTGTATACAGAGAGCGAGTGATCAGAAAAAGGAACAGCTGTTATGCCCAGGTTTTACGCTCTCTCTGCTGAATGAATCAAAGCATTTTATTAAAAACACGTTTGCATTTGTCTGGGTATTTACTTTGTAATCTGTGGTTTACATCTACTGTATTGCTTTGAGATGCCACTTTTAAAGGTGATATGTAAAATAACGTTTTTTATTATTGTTATAGAGAAACATGATCAGATTTTCCCTGGTTCAGAAAAAAAGTGATCTGAAGTGCTTATACCTGAAGTGCTTACGCGCAATGAAACCTATTACTCGATTCTTATGGACTCCCAGTCCCGCCAGGGATTTAAAAATTACATGGAATTGCGGATCTGTATACAGTATACAGCATACAGTAACTATGTTTATGCACAAACAATAGCATGTTACATTATTAATTTGGGGGTCTCCTCTTGCCAGAAAGCGCTAAATTGCATTTTGCCTCAACACTCTATACTCAACAACGATAATTCACAAACAGCCAGAACATTAACTCCACATTCCCAAATAGACCTCAATTCCATAGCCCCGCCCATTATGCAAAACCAACATCCCTCCCCTGTTCTCTCTCCGCTGGCGTTTGTAATCGTTTTTATTTTAAAATACATTTTAGCAAAGTCATTATTTTAAAATCTTAAGATTTCTTTATTTATGTCTTTATTTAGTGGTTTCATTAGTGACAAAGGCTAAACTTTCTTGGAAAAATGTATTTTATGTAAACCATGTTTGCTATTAATTCATTTAGGGCTAGAATATGTTCATTGTCTTCCAATAAAAGAAGGGTTCCTTTCGCCGTAG